AAATTACATACATTTTCCCGTTGATACCATTATTGGCCAGTCTAAACAATAACAAATCCCCGTTAACCGAGTCGAATGCTTCTGGAAATCTATATAGAGGCAATACAATTTCCCCTCTTTCCTGGCTAACTGTTTCTGAATTATGGCATATAATGTAAGTATTTGATCAATAGTTGAATAGTCCTCCCTAAATCCAGCCTGTGTCTCTGGGATTATATCAAAAACCCTTGCCCATTTTGATAGTCGTGCTTCAATGATACTGGTGAAGATTTTTCCAAATATACTCATGAGTGATATAGCTCTATAGTTACCGGGATCATTTCGACTGTTTTTCTTGTGGATAGGAATAATAATACCTTTTGGCCAACCTTCTGGAAAAATACCAGTATTAAAAATTAAGTTAAAAAGGGCATTCAAAAATGTTATCGACACATCACATGAAAATTTAAAAAAATCAGCGATTAAAAGGTCAGGACCTGCAGATTTGCCATTTCTAAGTTTATGTATTGACTGAATAATTTCTTCATTCGTTATTGGCACATTCAATGTCGTGTCAGTTTCCCCAAATTCTGGAGAATGTGGATCAAAACTATACAGAAACTTATAGTACTTTTTAACTTTTTCAAAACGAAATCCAGCGAACCGATATTGATCGTTTTTTCAAGATCATATGCTAGGTTTAACGGCAGTCCAAGTTCGGTCGGTTAATTAGAACCAGCTTGAACAGCGCTTTTGACAGGAGTTCTCGTTTACTACCGACGTCAAGTCCTGACGGAGATCAACTCGGCTGATTTATTGAAGTAGGCGTCGGCGTGTAAACGAGGCATTGGACGACAAGAGCTAAACTCAAATTTCCCTAACGCAGGCAAGCAGGCAAACAAACAAAAGCAAACCACCGCCGTTTAAGTGGGTCATGTAAATAATGAGCAAAATTTAGCTAAACTGAGTAGATAATAAATAAGGACCCACGCTTTGATATAAATTGGGATAGGTATATATTAAAAAGTGTGTAATAACAAATTCACAATAAAACAAGTAACTTGTCGAATCTATCTAAGGATAATATTATGTTTATGTATGCGTGCATATTTCTGGAGATTAAAGGTATGTCGAGTTACAAACTGTGATATATTTATTCTGAAAACTCATGGAAATGGATAATGTGGGGGTGGGGTTTGGTATGGCTAAACAGGCTGGAGACAACAGCTGGGCATAAACACTGTTATTGCTACTACTGGTACAAGGCTTTTCATGTTACCAGAATGCGATTGGTAGATAAAGGCTTATCTATCATGATAGGACAGTTACAATATTAAGAATGTACATGATAGGCTGAAATTAACTATCTGCGATTGGATAACTGTTTTTTATTCAGAATCCGAAACTACTGTTAAGCTTGAATATGTTGATAAAATAGGCAGCGAAGTTTAATCCATAGTCTGTTTTTTTTGTTTGTGTCACTTTAAATTTGGGGAACTACCGGGGTATAAATGGTATGTCAACTATTTACAAACAAACAAATTAGGAATATAATTTAACTGAACATTCAATTCAATTCGTTTATTTAAAGTCAGTTTGAAATACCTAGCCAAAGGCTAATATCACTGACTACTAACAATTACATCAAACAAAAGCAAAAATTACAAACATTAAACACAGGGAAAAACAAAAGTAAGATTTCACAAATAATCAATTAAATATCTTAAAATGATGGTGACCACAATGACACCATATGCTTAAAAGAATACAAATCTTTGCACTCCTTCATTGGATAAGGAAGCGAGTTCCACATTTTAGCACCATAAGACAATGACTCCAGTCCATAGCGTTTGGTCCTTGGTCGTTTTCACTGTAATTGATGAGAATTTCTGAAATTGTACATTACATTTTCTCCTTGTATAAATCCCACATACAAGATGGGGAGAGTTTGTTCACACTTTTATAAACTTTAACAAGTATGTCACGATTCCTGGACATCTCTAGTGTTTGTAGTCCAGCACGTTCCAATAAAGTTTGATAGCTGGTCTGAAAATCATTGTACACAAATTTCAAAGCTCTGTATTGAATACGCCCCATCTTAGCAATGTTTACTTTACCACAAAAATTCCAAACTAAAGAATAATAAGTAAAATGTGATAAAATAAAACATCTAAACATACTTAGTCTTGAGGCTTGATCTAAATAACCCGATATTCTTTGCAAAACTTTCAATTGGGCACCTGTCCGTTTACACAGAACACTAACATGATGGTGAAAATTTAAATTCTGATCAATATTAATCCCGAGCAATTACATAGACTAGACTTGTACTTAGATCATGCATATTGAAAACTACTTGCACGTGGAAGCATGTAGATTGTCGTCAATGTCACAATCACGCCGGAAAATGTATCTTTTTGTGATTGGTAAACTATCACGCAAATTCAGAAGAAATGTTCATGAATGCAGTTTGGTAGTTGCGCCAACATACACACATTTACATATATACGATTATGAAACGTATACTAAATTTCAAGTCCTAAAATACTGACAGAAAAAACAAGCAAATTAATGATGTATCAAAATGCAGCTGCAAGTGTAAAAGATTGGTTTAAAATAATTCATTCTAATATTATAAAGTATGTTTTACTACACAGAAAGTAAACTTTAATTACATTTTTCTACAAGTATTGTGTTTATCGTGACACCAAGTTTTTAACTTACAAACTTGTTTTGTTTTTTTAAGTTGGGCTATCTGAACAGGGGTGGATACGGGATTTTTTTTATGGGGGTCCAAACTTTAAAATCGCCAGACAAAGTTAATGATTTTTTTTATATTATACAAAAACAAATTGAATACATTTTCCAACGGAGGGGGGGGGGGCAAGAACCCCCCTTCTAGATCAGCCACTGCAGCTGAAATTAAAACTAAGAATATAATCCAACGTGTTACACATTGTCAGCAACCACTTGTAGAGAAACAACAGACTTATGTATCTGACATCATGAAAAAGCTGCAAATCACGTGATTAACCTCAAATATTAAACCTATTGAACTCTTACCGTCCGTGTCTCTGTCGGTACTTAAAGGGCGGTAGTCGTCGCGCCACGCGTGCGAGTTAAAATGTATATGGGTCTCATATAAACAAAGATGGTGACTTTGACTGTCGCGCAGATCAACGACAAAACTGACAAAAGCCTATGCTTGAACCCGAAAATGATAGTGTAATTACTACTCGTCAGTTATTTTTTTACATGAAGCAGTTCTGATGTACGCATGTTTTAGCGCATATTAGCATTGATCATAATGACCATATTTTGTGGCAACATCTGTTTATAATTAATCATTCTAGTATTAGCCAACATTATGTCAACTTGCTTCCTTAATGTATATCCTTTTTTTCACCATATGTCACCAAGCAACATTTTGAGATACACCCCTGCCATTGGAAACTACGGTAAAAAGTTCTAATTTACCAGTAAAACAGGCAATACAGTGATATTTTCACTATTCACTGATCGATTTGAGTACGGTGACCCAATATTTCCAAATAATTTTTTTTATTCTTGAGAGAGAGAGAGATCTTTTTACCTCCATGGATATATCAAATATGTAAAAAAAAGAAAAGAAAATCGAATGACCATGTTTGCTATTTTTGTGGAGAACTCTACCCAATCTTCCTCCCAGAGTTCTTAGCGTGCACTCTACAGTAATACACTGTACAGTGTATTTGCATAATCGCACGTTTTGCGTGATCTCGTGTTTTACGTTGTGATAATAGCGTGGCGTGTGTCTGAGTAGTTTTTTTCTGATCTATGTTTTGCAGTGTATGCGATACTGGGGCGTGCAGAATCAACGAGAGGAAAATTTCGAGGTAATATATGATTCCATTTCTGGTAAAAGCAATCTTCATTAGAATTTGGCGTTCTTTATGTTTGTTACAAAGCAATTGCCATTGAACTACTAACTATAAATTTGGTCCTGGTTGTTTTGTCAATGGCGTCTTTCTCCTTCGCTTCGAGGCTTCGTGTCTGCGACTTACTATTTCTCTGTCAAACATCTGCGAATGTTGTGATCAAGTTTTGGTTTAAACATAGGGCTTCATGGTTTAACTAATATTAATTTTCAATAAGGATTATCGTTCAATTGAAACTCAGTTATAAGACCGGCGAAACTGTTTCAATAATGCGGTGTTCAGCATCGCCATGTTGGGTACACTCGTATCACTGATATTGTAAGGTTACTGGTATTACCTTGGTTTGTGGATAGTACTATCCCATGACGCCACTCGTCGTATCAACCAACTCTACGGACAAGGGTAACCGGAATTATGTGGCAATCTTTTCGCACGAGTTTGAAGTGTCAAAACGACGTCACGACTTTACTGTTAAAAACCATAGGCTAATTTATGATAATTAGGTTTTTGGAATCTGTAGAATATTGCTTTGTGATATTTTTTTTCCATTTTTTCCCCCATAACTTTCAGTCTTCATTATTATGATTTATTGTTATGGCAACATTTGAGTAAATGTCATTCAGTCTGAAAAAGTCTGTGGAACCTGTACTATTTCAACCCAACAAATGTTAGGCATTGTTTACCAATTGTTAGACTAATATCATGAGACTTTGACAAATCTAAAAATAATATACTTGTTAAACTGTCTGGTGGGAACCTCTTTCAGTGTTGCAATATCCAAATTAATTTCCCCAGACGATTGAAGTAGGTGCAAATCAAATATGTACAGGTAATTTACATTTTTGTTTGTTTTGTGTAGTTGTTGCAATGTCCCTGGTAGCATATGCAAATACTGAGCATTTAAAACTGATTTGACATACTGATGTACATTGTATATCTTGTATGTATGAGCTGTAGTTATACAACAAAACCCTAATAGCTAACTGTCTGACAAATCAGAGAGCAGTTTGTTGTACATGTACCATAGACCTTAGAAAGAGAGGGACAGGCAACTGGATTATAAAACAAAGGATTTCACGACATCCGGCGTGCAACGTGGGTTACTACAGTTATAAACAAATGACCAAGCTAAGGAAGCCGTATGCTGTCACTCACAATCAATCGGCCGCGCAGTTTGCAACACGTCTTTCAGTGTTTGTGCTCATTACATTGAATTTTTAATTTCAATATAAGATCCATTTTTTGTACTGGTTATTAGGTGATACTTATTATATGTAGAGTTACAATTCGTTTTTTTTTCATCAGTATAAATTAACTACTCGGCTGATTTTATGTGTGGTGACAAATGGTTGAATAATACTTATCCTGCGACTGGCAGATTTTCGCCCGTTTTCGGAAAATAGAAACACTTGTTGTTTGCATTATCGAATTTTCACTTAAATCATACTATTTTCAACATCTGTTGTTCAAATTATTGCATTTTTTACTCGAGTAGTACAATTTTTGAAGTAATTAGGATATTTTAATTTAATGACTTTCTTTACAAAATTCGAAATTCTGAATTTTCGAAACTGCTTGTAAACGTGTGCAGTGTTCTCCCCAGACCCTAAGCCAAGCATCGTGGCTAATTTACATAACAATACATCTTATTTGCATAATTTTGTTTGCATAATAATTAGTTTCCCCAACAAACATTATAACTGAAATAAAGAAGAGATACATATCTCGTATATTTTTTAGGGGGGGATTTGTTTGTTAAATTTGTAAAATCTGTATGAAGAAATTAATAAATCAATAATGACATTTTTTTTTCTACAACGGCATTTCAAAACTAAAGTCAGCGATTTTTTAGCTCCGCTGTCGACTTTGTCGAGCGGAGCTTTATCATATGAGTGATTGTCCGTCGTCGTCGTCGTCCGTGTCAATGTTTTACTTTTTCGACTTCTTCTTGAAAACTACAAGCCTGAATGCTTTGATACTTGGTGTATATGTACCTTGGGTAGACCTCTCTCAGATTTGTTCATTTTGTAATGATATCTTCAATTCTCTAATTTTGGTGAATATTTTTGTAATTTTTGGTAAAAAGTGATATTTTCGACTTCTTGTTGAAAACCGCAAGTCCAATTGCTTTGATATTACATATATAGGTACTACATGTGGACCTCTCTCAGATTTGTTCATTTTGTAATGATATCTTTAATTCTCTAATTTTGGTGAATATTTTTGTCATTTTTGGTAAAAAGTGATATTTTCGACTTCTTGTTGAAAACCGCAAGTCCAATTGCTTTGATATTACATATATAGGTACTACATGTGGACCTCTCTCAGATTTGTTCATTTTGTAATGATATCTTTAATTCTCTAATTTTGGTGAATATTTTTGTCATTTTTGGTAAAAAGTGATATTTTCGACTTCTTGTTGAAAACCGCAAGTCCAATTGCTTTGATATTACATATATAGGTACTACATGTGGACCTCTCTCAGATTTGTTCATTTCATAATGATATCTTTAATTCTCTAATTTTGATGAATATTTTTTTAATTTTTGGTAAAAAGTGATATTTTCGACTTCTTGTTGAAAACCGCAAGTCCAATTGCTTTGATATTACATATATAGGTACTACATGTGGACCTCTCTCAGATTTGTTCATTTCATAATGATATCTTTAATTCTCTAATTTTGATGAATATTTTTTTAATTTTTGGTAAAAAGTGATATTTTCGACTTCTTGTTGAAAACCGCAAGTCCAATTGCTTTGATATATTATACATATAGGTACTACATGTGGACCTCTCTCAGATTTGTTCATTTTCTAATGATATCTTCTGTTCTTTAATTGCCATGTGCATTGCTAACAGCGGAGCTATCTCAGCCGACAGGCTGCTTGTCATTGATCTATCCATTATTTGTGTAACGCTACGATCACCGTAACATTGTCAGCTGACGGCATTGCGTTGAACGGGTATTCACCGCTGCTGTTGCGATCATCGGTCCCTGACTTTTTTGTTTAAAGCGCGGCTCCGCAATCCCAGGAATTGCACCAGTGTATCATGGGAAATGTAATTTGCATGGTCCGCCCAGTTGCTTACATTTCAACTGAAGGCGTTAATTCCGTAAGCTAACATCGTGCATTACGCTATAATCTGATTTGAAAGGACTTGCTGAATCCCGTTGTTCGACGTTCACTCTTTTGAAAGCCGTTTTCTGTGTTTGTTTCGCTCGTGGTCGACTGTGAAGCACAATTTCTGTAAATGGCGTTACGGCATTGTAAGGTTCTCTCCGAATTGAACTCATGCCTTTGCTTTCTTGCTACTAATTGTACTAATATGTTACAAGTGCGACCTTTTTATACAATGTATTTATTCATTCACAACCCGTACATTACGAGCGCGATGTATTCATACTACGTACTGCGCTATGTTGCCTCACACTTCTAACGTCCACTGTCATGAAATCGTATTGTCCAAAAAGGGAAACTATTGTTTATTTGCACTTGTTTCCGGAAGCATAGCAGAACTTCGCATACTTGAAGTCAAGTGTACGTGTTTGGCTGGACATTTGATTGCACCTTTACCGTGTAACAGCCAACATGCACAAAATAACGATACGTGTCTCGGAAGCACAAGAGGCCGCGATACGCGCTCTATTCTCCCACTCTGATTGGGATTTAGTTTACGAGAACCAGGCCTGATCTGGTTGTTGAGAGAGTCGTCGGGCAAAACGAGTGTGGGTTGTGTCTTAGTCAACCTTGTGTGACAACAAACAGGCAAGATTGGTTGGGAAATGGCCAGGGTCCGTGTGACAACAACGCTGCTATTAGGCGTCGTTTATTTCAAAAAGTATTGGACGATGCTCGGACAACGAAATGCGTGGACTGACGAAAGATACATCCAGCGCAAGTCACAACTTATGATGGCTGATGACGTTGTGGTCACACAAAGAGAAGTGATGCCGGAGTGTGTTATAAGACAGATACGCGGACTGTATCCCAATCTCTCAGGCGTGCCTTATATGAGTCATCTCTGGTACTGAAAAAATATGTGTCTTTCATTGATACAAACGAACCAAATGGCCCTTTTCAGGGCCAACAAATATTCCAAAAAGAGAACTACCGTATTGCCAATTCCTTGCATCATGAAATAACTGTAGTTTATTTGAATGACCTACACAATGTAGTTGTCGTACAACGTTTGCCACAATGTGTCTTGTCGGCTAGGCAATAATGACGTTATGCAACGTAAAAAAAAAAAAAAACTTCATTATACGTATACGGCTGTGCGGCACGGGTCCGACGCCAAACATACATAAATATATGCGCGGCTCATACTAGTACGTGACAAAAAGGGCTAAATATTTCACTGCTTGGGGACATGTTTCAGGGAACATTATAATTTTTTGTGAGACCTTTCAATTTATTTATTTCGAGAACGAAGAGAAATTTGAGAAGCATATCGACATATTGTCGGGGACGTATTTGGAACTCCCTCGACTCTTTTCATCGATATCGGAGTGAAAACCATTTTTTTTATTTTCCCAGCCCTGTAACCGCGAATGTCTTTCTTTGCGCACACACACTACATAAATTTTTGGTAT